GGTGACCAAGGACTCCAGAGAGTTGTTCTATTAACACTTAATCTCCCAAAGAGCATTTTCCTGGCACTCTTCCTAAACTGGTCTACATGCACTCAAATTCCAAACATCATGCCATTATCACATGTACGATGATCACATGGGGCTCGGCGCCTATAGCTCAACCGGCTAAGGCGCCAGCCATGTACACCTAAGGTGGCGGGTTTGAATCCCCAGCCCGGACTCGCCAAACAACAATGACGGCTGCAACCAAAAAATAGCTGGGCGTTGTGGCGGGCGCCTGTGGTCCCAGCTACTTGGGAGGCGGAGGCAGGAGACTCGCTTGAGCCCAGGAGTTGGAGGTTGCTGTGAGCTGTAATGCCAAGGCACTCTACCCAGGGGGGCAGCTTGAGGCTCTGTCTAAAAAAAAAAAAAAAAAAAAAAGATGATCACATGGTATGTGTAAAAGGCGTAGAACATTGTCTACCATGTAAGTAAGCACTTTTAAAGAGTTTTCCTCAGGCAGCTCCCATAGCTCAGTGGGTAGAGCTCCGGCCACATACACTGAGGGTGGCAGGTTTGAGCCTAGCCTGGGCCTGCTAAACAAAATGACAACTGCAACAAAAAAATAGCTGGGTGTTGTGGCAGGCACCTGTACTCCCAGCTTCTTGGGAGGCTGAGGCAAGAGAATCACTTAAGCCTAGGAGTTTGGGATTGCTGTGAGCTGTGAGCTTTGACACCATAGCACTCTACTGAGGGTGATATAGTGAGACTCTGACTCAGAAAAAAAAAAAATAAATAGTTTTCCTCGCTGAAGACAGATCCAAAGAACATGTGACAAACCATGTGTTCCACTAGCTCTGAAGTAGTGGGAGGCTACCCTTAGCCTTCCTATCCAGATGGAAGAGGCTTGTCAGACTTCTCAGATTTCATTTGTTAATTGTCCATGCTGAGGTCTGGGAATTCAAGCCATCCAAGCACCAGGCGTTGCCTTCAAAAAGCTCTGGGCTGAGGGTGAAGACAGCATGTTTTAAAGGACACGCAGGAGCTGTGAACTGGGTGGTCCTGATCAAACAGTCCTGGTATGGCCTCGCTCCAGCCTCAGCACTCCATCCCTGGGCAGGCAATCCAACCTTTGCAACCCTTCTCCCCTCCTCGGATCAGTGGAATCACTCTGGCATCTTTCTGTCTGATGCTCTTGACCACAAACATCAGAACCACTTGGTTAAAACAGGCTTGGACTTACAGTCCTTTGCTATCTTTACTAAATGGAAGGCTAGAGGCCATGCCTGCAGTAGGCTGGACACAGTCCTCCCTGGCTGAAGAATCTCCACTGGGTCTGCCCACCTGCTAGTTTGTCTGGAACATTCTGGTTTTAGCACAGGAAGTACTGCATCTGGAGAAAGTACCACAAAGGCCACAGCTTCAACACCTGCTGCCTGCATGCAGAACGAGCCAGGTGCTGGCACCTTCTTTACTAGGGAAGACCTTTCCTGGGGTCCTTGCAGATAGCCCCTCACAGTTCACTGGTCAGATTGGGTCACATAACCACTCCTGGCCCAATCACTGTTCAAGGTGAGCCTTGGTGCGGTGGCTCAGGTAATTTTGAAGGAGCTCTTGAGGGAGTCAAGTGCACCCTTGTCCTGTGCACTCTAGCTTCCACCAGGAGGGCAGGCTGGGTGTTGGGTGAAAAAGAATCTTCCAGAAGGGACTAGAAGGCACTGTGAGAAACCAGCACTTCAAACCACAGGAGCCCTGGCTCTGTTTGGAAGGGCGGGGCCATCCTCTGCCTGCTCTTCCCAATACCTGACTTCCACATTGGGGCAGAGCAGGGCCCAGGTCTCGGTGAGCCTGTTGGTGAACGGGTCTGGTTCCTGTGGGTCAGTGCTCCTGCTGGGATGGGGCATCCCTTGCAGTCACCTCCCAGACTGAGAAATGGGTGGTAAGAGCCCCACCTCGTGTGGTCGTCCTGAAGCCAGAGCCTGGCCTATAATAAACACAGTACATGCTGCTTGTTCTATTATCCCAGGGGAAGGTGGACAAATCCTTAAATTTGTTCTCATGCAGCCAGCGCCTCTGTCTGGTGTAACTAAAACCAGTCTGGGAACTTAGTGCAGAGATCCTGCCCCCTCCAGGGGAATGAAAGCAGGGGCCAGGGAATGTGCATGTTCCTGAACTCAGACAGTTTAGTAGCAGAATTTATATTGGCATGGATAACTCATCAAAGAGGTTATTTTACAATATTCAATCTTTAAGAATGTTTGTTGAACAGCCTGGTCTCGGGCTAGATGAAGGGGTTTGTCTTTCAGGGGCCCAGGATTCTTTTCATGCCCAGGCCGAGTCAAATCCCAAATGAAAGGGCAGCCGTGGGGCACGCCTTCTCTCTCTGGCAAGTCCTGGAATGCTTCCTGAAGTTTGCTTTGTTGCTGAGAGTCTAGCTCCAATTGTTCCTATTCTTCCTGTGATTTGACAGTTGCCTGGGCCGTCTTGCTGTGCCTCAGTTAGATTGCCTGTTACTGGTGGTCAAAGATTGTATCACAGCTCCCTTGGCATCCCTTGTAGGTGCCAGAACAGAAGCTTAAATAGAACAGATATTCAATAATAAAATTGAAAATTTCATCCCCCAAAGATAACTGTCTCAATAATTTGAACTATAATATTAAATTCCAAACTCCGTTTCTCCCACAGTGCCCTCTTTTGCCTTTTTGTAATAATTTCTCTTTTATTTCTGAGGAATGCTGAGGCAGTGAATTGCAATGACTACCTCTCGCCTGCTACCAGTCACCACCACTGACTCTCCCAGAATTTATCAGGTTCTTCCTTTATCACCAGCCATCGCTCATGTGAATAGGTGAGTTTCTGCTCTTTTGAGTTGTTTTTCCGTGTGATCCTATAGAAAATCATTGATACTAGTTGTGCTAGTCTCAGCTGGTATTTTTCTCTCTCAGGGGTTCCTTCATCTTGACCTGTAACAGAGAAGCCCCACCAGTGGCAATGAGGGCTGGTCTCAAAGTATTGGCATCAGGTAAAAGGCATGTGAGGCCAATCAAAACTTTCATATATTGTGTGGACATGCTTCTCTGAACAGTGAGGATATGTTTAAGGGAGGAGGGCTTTTTCGGGGAGTGGGGATAAATCGTCCATTTATCAGTTATCTTCTGTATTGTCAATGGTGGATCAAGCAATGTCTTCTGTGACTTTAATTCTTTTCTACATTGAATTTCTATTTTTCTTTTTTCTTTTCTTTTCTTTTTTTTTTTGAGACAGAGCCTCAAGCTATACCCCTGGGTAGAGTGCTGTGGCATCACAGCTCACAGCAACCTCCAACTCCTGGGCTCAAGCGAGTCTCCTGCCTCTGCCTCCCAAGTAGCTGGGACCACAGGCACCTGCCACAATGCCTAGCTATTTTTTGGTTGCAGCCGTCATTGTTGTTTGGTGGGCTGGGCTGGATTCGAACCTGCCACCTTAGGTGTATGTGGCTGGTGCCTTAGCCACTTGAGCCACAGGTGCTGAGCCGAATTTCTATTTCTCAATGGATGAGAATTACTGGTAATATGGATGTGAACAGTCTATATCCTTTTAGAAAAGTTTTCTCCTGCCTGATTTATTAAGTAAGTTACTCACAGAAATGGTGTTAATGCAAAAACAATTCATGGGGACAGTATTCGTGTTCATCAAACACTTGTTGACTTTAAGGTCATAATCTTACCAAGACAGTTATTAAGGAGAAGCCCAATATGGTTATAGATGGAAGTGATATTAGGGAATTATGCAAGGGTCTTAAGTCCCATCCCATCCATCCCATTAATTTCATTCATTCCATTCCATCCATTGGTCTTAGTCTGTTTGGGCAGCTATATAACAAAACTGCCATATACTGGGTGGCTTACACACCAAACGTTTATTTCTCATAGTTCTTGAGACTGGGAAGTTCCTGATCAAGGCACCTGCAGATTTCCCGTCTAGTGAGAACCCCTTTCCTTGTTCATAGATTGCACCCACTTTCTGTCTTCATATGGTGGAAGGGTTGAAGCAGCTCTCTGATGCCTCTTTTCTAAGACCACTAAATCTCATCCTGATCTAATCACCTACTGTAGGCCTCACCTCCTGACACCCATCACTTGGAGGATTAATATTTCATCATCTGAATTTTTTTGGGGGGGCCACCGCAAACATTTGGTCTGTAATACCATTCCTGGGACTTTTTCTTTTTTTTACATAACTTACTTTTTATTAAAAGTATCTTGCATTCATGATGGATATTTTCTGGGTTTTGCACATAGTTTAATATTAAAATTTATTTTTTACACACAGTAATGTGAGTTTTCCCCATATAGAAACACTGATAAAAAGATGACATACCACATGGGTTAAGTGTCTTTTTTAATGGAGAAGCTAACAAATAGTCCAGTTATATTTCTCCCCCAAAAGCCACAAACTGGGTAGTAACTAAGTCTCTAATCCAGGCAATATATTCAACACTAAGAAATAAAAATTAAAAAAAGAAAAACCCTCAGATCCAATTAAGGGGGCCCATCTACACACAGGCTGGTCACTATCAGTGCTACTCTTTGACTCTACATGTCTGGAAGGCATCCTAATAACCCTATTCAGAACATTTACTTCAAATAGCCTTTCTCTGGTTTCCAACTTACGAATTAAGATAGTATTTTAATTCTATTTCAGAAAACTTTTTGCAAGTTGTTTTATGTACAATGCCAACTTTTAAAAGATCACTAAAGTTATATGAATGATAAACTAGGCAGAAATCACTTTACAAAAAAGAGGGAAAGCCCAAAATGCCACTTTCTACAGAGAACTCACAGTTTAGTTTTATTCAGAGCAAAGAAAAAAACACTTTCATCATACTAGAAGAAAGTCAGCCATAGGTTTGGAAGCTGTACTCCAGCTGCACATGCAATGAGGACAATATTCTGCTAATACAATGGATTTGCTGCTGCATTCGTCTACTGTTTGTCTAATATTAACAATTACAAACAGAGCAGTGTGACTGGTAGTTGAAATAATCCTTACAGTGTAACAGTGTCACGTACTACATTTCACTTCTCTTCACACCACTGGTTCACTTTGCGTACCTGGGCTTCCTCCTCTTCAGTAAAGTCATTTTTGATATTGAAGGTCTTGTGAATCTCTTCAGGAGTTTTCCCCTTGATCATATTGGCAAAAGTCTTACATGTAACATCAAGCAAGCCTTTGATGTCTAAGTAGTTTGCAGCCAGAATAAGTTCAAAAAGTGTTCCTTGGTCAACTTTCAGGAATTCTTGGTCCCTAAGAGAGATTTCGTCTGTTTGCTTTCCTTTGTTCTCATCATCCTCAGGAGGAGGAGGGTCATCCTTGTGGTGGGTGCACCACTGAATGACCTTTTTTAATATTGCTGCATTAACATTTGGTAGAGGAACTGGGTCATCATCTGCTTCGTCTTCCATTCCCAAATCTTCCAACATCGTCTTGATAGTCACAGACTGTTTGGCAATTTCCACATCAACTTCAAATATCTCTCCATCAGAACTCTGCAACTTAATAGAAGGCATGGTGTTTGGTTTCAAAAGATGGCCAGAGGCTGAAGAGAGCTAAGGAGCTTCTACACAATAAGTCGAGAAGCAGAGGACAAGGCCACTCCATTCCTGGGACTTTTTATGAATCAATTGATATGATCATGTCCTTCTTTAACTTATTAGCATGATGGATTGCAATGCTATACTTTTAGATACTGAGTGAATATTAACACCTTGAGTAATCCTGCCTTAGTCACAGTGTATTGGTGTTGCTGAATTCTATTTGCTAATATGTACTTTGTCTCCATTAGTGTTATTATTTTTTTTGTACTATCTTTTTGTCTATTACCCTATTACCCAGGGTAATACTAGCCTCATGAAATTATTTGGAAAGTGTTTGCCTTTCATTTTGTTGTTTTAAATTGATGTTAATTTTCATTTAAACCTTTGGTAGAAGACTCCAGTGGAATAATCTTCTCTGGAAATTTCTTTTCCAGTAATTTCTAATTACAAATTTAATTTCATTAACAATTGAAGAGATAATAAAATTACCGACTAGGTAATTTCATACTGGGTGAATTGTGATAATTTGTTTTTTTCAAAGAATTGGCCCATGTAAATTGTGAAATGTGTGTATATTATAAGCATTCATTGATTACCCTTTTGATGTTTGCATGGTCTGTAAGTGACATTCCCTGTTTTATTCCTGATAGTGAAATTGTGTCTTCTCTATTGTTCCCTGGTCTTGCTAGAATATGTCAAATTTATTGACCCTTTCAAAGAACCAACTTTCCTCCCTACACATTATACATTTATGTTAAATTATATCAAAACATCATACTGTAAGCCACAGATATATATGATTTTATTTGTTAATTATAGCTCAATGGAGCCAAGGGGAAAATAGCCAACTTTTTAAATGGATTTGCTCTATTGTTTTACTGTTTATAGTTTCATTGATTTTTGCTCTTTATTTTCTTCTTCTTTTTTTGCTTTGGGTATATTTTGATCTTCTTTTTATGCTGTGTTTTGGCAAAATATGAGAAAGCAGCTGAAGTATATACTTTGCCTTGTGTGGGTGAACTAAACAATGGGCGCAAGGATCGATCACTGACAGACTTCGGAAGAAGTGACAAGATTCATTACCCATCAAGATGTGTGTGTGTTCTTAACATAGTGATCTGTGGACTGAACTTAGCAGTGAATTCTGTCTTTTGTGCAATCAATTGCATTTAATGTACTGTGGTAAATTAAATTTGAACAATGTGGTTGGGGGGGCTGGTAAAAATTAACTAAAGGGAGTCAAAATCAGTGTATATCAAGGCCAAGCTGGGTGGATTGTCCCTGTAATCCTAGCACTCTGGGAAGCCAAGGTGGGTGGATTGCTTGAGCTCTGTAGTTGGAGACCAGCCTGGGCAAGAGGGAGATCCCATTTCTACTAAAAAATAGCAAACTAGCAGGGCATTTTGGAGGGTGCCTATAGTCCTAGCTACTTGGAAGGCTGAGGCAAGAGGATTGCTTGAGCTGAAGAGTATGAGTTCACTGTGAGCTATGATGCCATGGCACTCTACCCAGGGTAATGGCGTGAGACTCTGTCTCAAAAAAAAGAAAGAAATTAGTGTATAACAGAATGAGTCAGAGTGAAGAGTGCCTGTTTTTAAAATGTGTAATAATTATCAATTCTATGTTGTTTTGAGATATAATACAGAGACATCTCACGTACATTGTCCTCAGTTTTCCCCAAGAAAATATTTTGTAAAACACATCCAGAAAATAGACATTGACAGATGCTATTCAGATTTCCCACTTTTTTGTATACTGTGTATGTTTTATAATGACTGTGCAATTCTGTTGCCTGTGTAGGCTTGTGCACTACCACAGTCAAAATGCTGAGAAATTACCTAGCATTGCCTTTTTATATAGCCCCGTCCATCTCCCCTGACCATCCTATCCCTGTACCTTGGCAACCTCTATTCTGTCCTCCACTTAAAACATTGTGCCATTTCAGAAGTGTCACATAAACGGAATCATATAGTCTTCTTCATTGGCTTTTCTCTCCATGCAGTATAATTCCCTGGAGATTCATCCAAGCTTTTGTGTTTGTCAATGGTTTCTTCCTTTTCACTGTTGAGTAGTATGCCATGGCATGGATATACCACAATTTGTTTAACCATTCACCTCCTGCAGGACTTCTGGGGCATTTCAAGTTTGGGGGCTGCTGTTGTGAATAAAGGCACTGTAAACGCTCATGTTTTTGTGTGAGCATGTCTTCTTTTCTTTGGGGGCAAATGCAATAGAGTGCAACTGCTAGAACATATTATTTTATGTTTAGTGTTATAAGAAAACGCCAAGCTTTCCTCCAGGGTAGCTGCAGCATTTTACATTCCCCTCAGCAGCATGTGTAGGATCCATTTTATCCCACATTTTCACCAGCATTTGGTATTGTTGCTGCTTGTTAATCTAGCCATTCTGATAGGTGCATAGTGATACCTTATGGTGGTTTTAATTTGCATTGAACTGATGGCTAGTGATGTTGAACATCTTTTCATAAATTTGTTTGCCATCTGCTTGTCCTCTTCAGTGAAGTGTCTGTTTGTGTATTTTGCTTATTTTCTAATTGGAGTGTTTGTGTTTTTAGCTGTTGATGTTCGAGAGTTTTGATCATATCCCATTAATACTAGTCTTTTGTTAGAAATGTGGTTTGCAGATATTTTCTTCAGTTCTTAGCTTGTCCTTTCATCCTCTTCACCAGGGTTTTTGCAGAACAAAGGTTTTCAGTTCTCATGAGGTCCCCTGAGCAACTCCAACCTGCTGATTTTCCTCCCAGATTTTCCCTGGAATCTGCTCACTCCCTGTCTCCACAGATCCTTTTGAAAGCTGCCCCTTCTAGGCTACTGCCCACATACTAGTACTTGAGGCCCCTTCCCTTCCCACCTGGAGTGGCCTCAGGAGAAAGCCTTCTCCAGAGAGCTCCCAACCCACATCCTAAAGTCCACCATGAGACTGGCCTGACCCATCAATAGCAAATCTCTGCATCTTTATCAGAACCCATTGGATGTCTCATCTACATGGGGCTGGCATCTGAAGGGTGGGCCCAATATGGATGAGACATCCAATGGTTCTGATAAAGATGCGGAGATTTGCTGTTGACAGGTCAGGTGAGTCTCACAGTGAGACTGTGATACTTACCACTCTGGGATGTGGGAAGTATCAAATTTGGTGCCTCACTGAAATTTCCAACTTACTATCCTGATCATTTTATTTCGAGGGATGGCAAAATAGCCGTGTTACTTCAGAGGAGCTCATTCCTAGTGATGTACAAGTTCTTCTACTCATTAATCTCATTATTAGTTTTTACATATACACCAAACTTTTGTCTGTCAATCTTATTATTTTTTGCAGTTTTTGGCTGGGGCCAGGTCTGCCACCGCCGGCCTATAGGGGTGGCACCCTACTCCTTTGAGCCACAGGTGCTGCCCAATCTTATTTTTTTTTAGCAGTAGTGGCAGGCACAGTAGTGAATTTAGGGTTAAGCCACTGGCCATTGGAGTTTCTCTGTTAGCCTCTTCACTTGATTCCCGCTCTCTTGGAGCAAGGAACTGCATTGTAGAAATAGTGAAGACTTCTGTAGGTTTGAAATTTTAGGTCAGCACAAGAGAGTTGCTATCCTAAATTAGTGGATGGTGAGAGATGCTAACCTAAATTAGAACCACTAGCATCCTTTGTTTGCAAGCAACAGAACTGCTTTGGCTGATTTAAGTCAGTTACTGAAAGGCTACCAGAAGCTCATAGGAATGAAGCAAAAAGTGGAACACCAAGTAATGAGTTTTCCATTTCAACTGAAGGAAGGCCAGAGATAACACAGACATTATCTGATGCATCAGGGACCCAGAAGCTGGACTCAATAGAGGAGAGTATTTTCTTTTTAAACCATGAAGAGTTTATCTTTATTTTTGTCTTCCTCAAAGCAGGAGGATTCATACATCAGTGTCACAAATGTACTCAGACTTGCACAAGCCTCGGGAGTGTGTGCAGAGACAAATGGATCCAAACCAATGAACGCAAGTTGAATCTGGATAATGAGCCATAGATTGGGTCTTTCTACCAAAATCTGGATAATGAGCTGTAGATTGGATCTTTCCACCAAAAGCAGGTTTTACATTTGTAGTTTTATCAGAAAAGGAAATAACAGTTGTGGTGTTCTCATTTTCTTCTTCTCAGCCCGTCTGACTGATTACACATTAGTGTGCCCAAGTTTTGAAATTATGATCCACTTGCATCTGCACAGGCGAGGTCTGCACCCAGTTTTCCGGCAGCCAGCAGCGTGGCCCGAGGCTGCGAGAAGTGACCTCCAGGCGGGAGCATCTGAGTCAGACATATGGTTTTCCTCCTGTAGCTCAGAGGCAGAAATGCTGTGAAGACGATTAAACTCTCCCCGACCTGCTAGAGTGTGTGGGCGATGAGTCTATTCATTGTTAATGAGAGTTCTTTGGCTTATTGAGCTATTTAACATTTAATAATTGTTTTCAATAATTCAGAAAAATAGTGTTTGGTGCACTTTGGAAAAACACTTGCTTGATAAGCATGGCCCTCTCCGGTTGGCTGTTCTCTGATCTCCTGACAACGGTGATGACTGCGAGCTGGCAGCAGCAGAGGCACCTGCCCATGGGGACTCTCCAGGGGCAGCCCTCTAGCTCCATGTGGCCTTCCTTGGCTCTTCCATCCCTGGGTTTGACCCTGGTCCTGGGCAGGAGATGCCCTGCCCTTTTCCATGTGTCCCACTGCTCTGTCTTGGCATTACTTGACTTTTGAGAAAGGCCTTTGGACCCAGGCCTTCCCCCTGGGCCCCTGTCTCCTTCCTAACCTTGTTGGGAAGGTGTCTGTATATCTGTCTCCCTTTTCTCATCCTCTCCTCACTGAGACCTAACCAGGCAGTTCCTATCACATGCTCAGCCACACACACGCTGCTTGCTGAGGTCACTGCCAACTGCGCATCACTGAACCATCTGGCAGATGTATCCCTTCTGCCATTGGCTTCTGTGGCCGAGCAACCCTAGTTTCCTCCCACTTCTCAGACTGTCCACCGTGGTTTGCTTTTCAGATTCTACCTCCACTACCCT